ATTAAAGGTAATTAATTTAAAGGCTACTTTGAATCTTATTTTAAATCTCTAATAAATTAATATTATATTTATTTATTATATTATAAAGGTAATAAAAGAAGCTATTAATAATTTTAATATTAGTTATTTTAAATAATCTTTTAGCCTTATTAATAGCTTTAATTAAGGTCTTTAAGAGCTTTAAATAGGTTATAATTTATCTGAAATATTATATCTTAGATAATAAAAGGCTTAAAGGGTCTAATTATCTTTATAAAGTATAGCATCTTTAATTTATTATTTTATAGCTAAAAAACCACCTCTTTATATTTAAATAATATACGTAATAAGAGCTTTATCTTTATTATTATTAATAGCTTATAAACGGCTAAAAACCGCTTAAAAAGATATAAAAAGGGTATTAATAGCTTATTAAATAAATAATTTATTAACTTTAAAGCGTTTAATAGCTTTTTATATAAATATTTAAGGTTATTATTATAGTATTATTATTATATAATAAAGCTACTTAAGCGCTTTTAATAATATAATTTTTATGGCTGATTAAGTGGATCGTCCACTTAGTCGCTAACGGGGAGGAAAATCCCACACCCGCCCGACACCGGCACCTGAAGGGGTCCAGCCACAATGGGGGTGCTTGATAACTCAGAGAGGGTGCTTGTTAACTAGGGCCTTTCAGATATAATTGCCCTGGTAATAAGGGAGTTAGTTATCACGAAAATACGATTTAAGACGCAACGACGAAGAAGACTCATAATACGGTCGCGGGGGGGGTTAAGAAACGCTGTAAATTACACATAAACTCAACTAACAGATAGACAGGCCACAGAGCAAGCAGTAGCATTCGGGTCGCCGGAAATTAAGAAAAATTATCCCTCAAACACAGCCGAAAGAGCCGCAGCTTCGATGGAGAGCCCGGGCAGCGTCCACGCCGCACGGCGGCAGCGGAATAATTGACGGCCCGTGAATGTGTACACATTCATAAAAAAAACACCAGAAATCGCGTTTTTAAACGATCTAAGCCCTACCAGCGCTCGTGTTATTGAAAAAATGATAGATTTAAATTAAATATTAATTGAATTTTTAAAAGGCGGGCGTGACCATGTGGGTGTATGCGAAAATGTATGGTGGGGTGTTGGCAATTGGCCACTAGGCTAAATCGAGCGATAGTAGTACGAATAGCTAGGTACGACCCCGCAACCCTACCTGAGCAAATTCAAAGTTTGAAACATGGAGCACCCCGTGGCTCATCATATCTTCAACTCAACCTACCATAGGCGCCTGCTGCGTTCTGTTAGTGAAAAAAAACTCATCATGTCGTTGACAAGCCGAATCTTCTTCGAAGAAAGTGACACGCCCGAGCCCGAGGATTTCTTGTCTGATTCCCTGGGGACAGTTTTCCCAGATGACGTGACCAACCAGCATGGTGATGCTGGAGAGAGTCTCATCTATGCGTCGCCGTACTTGGCCAAGCCGCTGCATATCGAACTCGCAGGTCCCGCTGGCGAGGCGGATCGTAGGCTATTCAGTCACCATCTCTGGAACTCGAGTTTGCTGCTCGCTGAGCTGATTGAAAAGGACAGCTTGGGCGTATCAGGTCTCGACCAGGCTGACTCTGCCACCGCCAACATGACGCTTGGCAGCGGTGTGAGTTTCGACATTCGGGGCAAATCCATTCTAGAACTGGGAGCTGGTACCGCGTTGCCCAGCATAATGGCGGGATTACTAGGCGCCAGTCGCGTTGTGGCGACCGACTATCCAGCTGCTGCCTTCATAAAGACAATGCGGGATAATGTCGCGCGCAACATCCGGCCCGAGTTCTCCCCGCCCGGAAGTCAGACGACGCCAAAATCGTCCGTTACGGTGCAAGGGCATGCTTGGGGAGACTTGCCCGCCTCTGATCTCTTCTGCGAATCAAACCGTCACTCATTTGACCGCATCTTTGCCGCCGACTGTCTCTGGATGCCCTGGCAGCACAATAACCTCCACAAATCCATTGATCACTTCCTGAAGCGTGGTGCTGATGCACGCTGCTGGGTTGTCGGCGGATTCCACACGGGCCGCTCAAAGATGAAGGGCTTTTTCACAAGCGAAGCCCTTGGACAAGTTGGCCTAAAGGTGGAGAGGATCTGGGAGAGGGACTGTGATGGACGGGAGAGGGAATGGTCCTGGGATATGGAAGAAGATATTACAGTGCGGAAGCGATGGCTTGTTATAGCAGAGTTGAGGAGAATAGAAGACCATGTCGCGGTAGTTGGACAGCAAATATACTAGACTCTATATATCTATATAAATAGGACTGAATGAACAAGCAAACGAATAAGAAAAGCGAGGCGTTATTTCCTATGATTATGTACTAACCGATTATGGCAAGCACGCCGCATGAAATGCAACCGTATCCTCAAGAAAGCCAATCAGAGGATGCCGCTTAACGCACGGTCGATGCTGCAGGTAGTAAAATTCAACTACAACTACATCGCTCTGTTAGACAATGCGAGTGTGCGATTTTCAACGTTGCGTCTCTTATTTTATCGCGGCGGAAAGGCTGCGATACGATGCTGTTTGGTCGAGGCTTTGAACTCGTCAGCCCGAAATCGCCACGTTGCCCTATCAAGTTCAGCGGAGATGAGTACGTTCTTTAATTAGTTTAAGCGCCATGGCTTATCGAGTTATAAAATATCTCAAAGTCCCATCAACTCTTCCTATGTATTCCAGTACCCAATGCACAAATTTTCTGGGTCTATAGAAGGACTAGTTCTAGAGTTTTCCCTCTCGCCTCAATCTTGCTAACGGAGTGAATAGCCTCCGCCTATCAAAATCCAAACTCAAAGATTGGAAATTCGGCAAATATGAAACACGTGATGGAAAACAGACCCTTGAGTTCAGGTCGAGGGGTCCCAGTGGTGCTGTCAGGCAACTTCTTCAGGTGTGCCCCAGTACCACCACACAGTTGCACCTAGGCCAACTCCATGTCTCAGAATCAATGTCATACGACGCCGGCTATGTCACAGACTCACAGAAGACGAGCAGATAGTCTCACTTCCCGAGCCACTCAGGATCCAAGCAGCCAGTTCTCAACCTTTTGAATGAACCGGGCAGGCAAACCAACATTAGAATCAAGACTCCAGCCACCGCTCGCATGAGTCTCAATTTCTTGGGAGCATCACAGCTTCCGAGGGCCAGAATGTGACTGACAGGTGGTTCTCTGACAAGCCAGCTTCTAACCCCAGCCAGCTCATTTACGACACCAAGGATGAGGACAATCGACTTCTCCTTCGGAAACTCTGGATGACAGCTATGGGGATGAGTCCGCCTCAATGACTCCTGTGTGGGTGGCCGAAGATAATTGTTCACATCGACTGCCGGGGACCTTTCGTCTTAGCGAGATCAACTCAGAGTCTGTTCTAGCCCAAACACGGCGATGGAAAAGTACTTAAGTAGCATACCGATAAGTCTCATAGCTGTACCTGCCGGCATTGCGACATCTTGGGGAGTTGCTCCCCTCTTGTACAGGCATTGGCGCAAAATGCCTGTGCCAAATGCATGTCTGATGACCAAAATCACCGAAGAATGCCAAGGACCGTCTTCGAGGTTGAGGTGTCGCATCCTCAGTTGAAAATCGCCATCTTCAGCGTTGGTCTGTGCTCAGAACTCAAGTGTCGCAGAGAATATAAGGGTGTATAACACACAAAATACCGTGGCGTGGCCACGCCCGTTTTTTGGTATTTTTTCGTGTGACATCAAGTCACTCCCGCAGATACAAGTGGGAAAACGTGACGAATTCCTCGACGGCAAAGTGCTTCTGAAACAATACACCGCTCTAAAGACGCACCTCGACGGGCTTCGTAAACTCAACCCCTTTCTGGGAACATCCCACGATACCATTGAGGACTCGACACTCCTCGTGGAGGGATTTATAGCCAATCCCTCATCATTCAGATGCTTTGGCTCCCAGAAGCTCTGTGAAGGCGCGCCTTTGGACGAGCAGTTGCGAGAAACCATTCTTCAGCAAGAACCTGGCTTTGTTATCGAGGAATTTGACAGCGCTTATATTCAAACTCGACGAGCGCGAGAGGGGATTGGGCGGTGGCATACAATGAGCTCCCGCCCTTGAAAGAAACTTGGGACCGCATGCCCAACGAAATGCCCGAAGACGTGCGCGGCGGCGTGAGCGGCGGCAAGCGCTCCGGCGCGCGCAGCTGTAAGAACAGGAGCAGCCGTGGTACAAATCCCTGCTTGATAGACTATGGTACAGCCCAAATAACTTCGTTTTTTACATATAGACCGACTGCATGTGTGCGAGGAATACATACCATGGTTTGCATCGTCGTCTCGCTGCGGGTGGGTTCCTGAGGATCAGATTCGCGAGACCATGGCCAGTTTGGCAGAGAAGGACAAAAAAGCGATGCGCGAGAAAGAGAGGCTCCAAAGATTCCGCTCGAGTCTCATTCATCGGTGTCAGCTTCTCGAGCAGGCAGCCTCAACGGCACTTTACCAGAACTGCGGCAAATTGCAGAGTCATAGACAGGCGTGGGATACTGCCATGACGACAATGCGGCGACTCTCCCGATTGAGACCTCCTCGAAACCTTACCGATGCTCTCTTCCTCCTGTGCGTCTCCAGAGCTGCGGGCAGAGACTATTGGTTACGATGGGGATGCATACATGTCCGCATTTTCTCAGGACCTAGAGCTATGGGGAGACATTTCCCCAGAAATTGCACGGCATTCACATTTGACTGGGCCCCCGGCCTCAGTCTACATCCCGACAGTCCTTACATGCGAAATTATTGCAGTTGGAAGAGTCTGTGTCTGCATTGATAGAAGAGGCCAACGGCATGTTCGGTCTTGGAGACTGGAGTCCGCCCAACGAAACGGATGAACTTGGTGCCTGTCTACAATGGTGGTCGTCAAGTACCAACCAAGTTTCACCAGCCATAGAACCCCGGTGCTTCTTACAAGGGACAAGGGAAAAAAAACCAGCAGATCGATCGATTTGCCCAATCGTCGCTTCTATTGGGGAACAGCTTCAATGAACTCCTTACCTTGACACAGCTGTCGTTGCACTGGTGGTCAGTATCTCGGTATCACTTTTACGTTCGTCGCCTATTTAATCTTGGGTTTGCTCACTCTCCCTGCCTCTAGAATGGCCTCACTGTGCTAATGTGGCACCAGGTCTTGCCAACATCTTATCAGCCAATGTACTGGGATTTCCCAATCCATGTTACGAGGATATGGCATAGGCTACTTCGGCCTGCTAAAGTACACCGCCCACCAAGGTGCCCGATTTGCTGCCAACATTGTACAAAAAACCCATCAATTCGACCATGCATTTGACCTCAAAGGGTTCGATACGGACTTTTTAGCGGGAAAAGTGAGAACTGGGGAGTCGGGGTGTCTACTCACAAGAACTGACTCTGGCCGCGTCAATGTCAGCGGCCCGAAGGTACAGATGAAGACCGCAGGCAATGTCGCGAGAATGCTGCTACGGAAGAAAGCGAAGGTCGTCTAACTGGAAGATCATAGTTGAGTCAGTTATAGGTTGCGGAAAGCTGGAGGTTCCTCAAACATTATGGCATAGTGATAAGAACCTGTGGATTTCTAATGTGGAAGACTTGGCTTTCAAATACACTACTAGACTCTATATAGCAAGCGGAGTTCTGGAAGCCTTATCACGGAACAATCCACAGTCTACAAACAATCACAAGTGGTTTCTTATATCAAATGAACTTACAGGAATGGTATAAACGACATAATGGCCTAAAGAGCCAGGCAGGGCCGAGGATGTTGAAGAGAGGCGGTTCAGTATCAGCCGAATTCTAAATGCTGTCTATCCTACACGTAACACGTATCACCCTGATCTCTCAGTCCCGCTGGGAGGAGCCGATCTTTCATCTCTGCGCAATGCAGCTCTCTCACGGAGCCGTAAGCTTGCTCTTGGCCCTCAGCGTCGGCCCATATCTACACAAACCTCAATACCCAAAGACACCAAGCACGCTCAACCCACCCATCAGACTGCATCCCTTTGCAACCCTCATATTGGCATACAGCGGCCGCCCGTACAAAATGGCACCGCTAGCGAATGTACTCCTCAAAGCATCATTTGCAGCAAGCAAACTCGCCACATATTGCGGGTAACTAGTCGGCAAGTGAATAAAGATGCCCAGCCCAGCCACAAACGAACACCCGCAGTACATAACGATGCCCAGCGTGGGGACTTCCCAAGGCACAGACTCCCTGGGCGTCCATCCGAAGAGAAACATGCCCACCGGCACGCCCAACACACCAGTGAGCCCGGGCCGGAGGAAAGTTTCCTGCACGTCAAAAGTGCCGAGTTTGCGGAATGAGGTGGTACCAGGAGCAATACCATGTTGTGCCCAGGACGCAGGAGACGAGGACGCAGATGAAGACGGCACTGGTGAGACCTGGGCTCAGGTGGTAGATTTTGGGATAGACTAGCGGGAAGACTTCAAAGATGGAGTAGTATATGCCGTAAACGAGAGATATCTACAGGCTGCTAGCGGGCAAAGCTCCTATATGGGGGGCAGGTTGAATAGAGTGACGTGCGTATATGTTGACAAAGGCAACTGTAGGATCTTTGATGGATATCTGGATATCTCAAACGGCTTGATAAGGGCTAGTTTCACAGTCTGGGCCATAATCTAATGCTTATTCAACAGGGAGCCCTATGGAACAACTATCGAGTAGCCCGCCTTTTGTCGAAGCCGTTTGGCCTTGTAATATAGGAGAGTTGGCGCCCCCGTTTCGGGGAGGAAGATGACGAGCACGACAAACACGAATGCCGAAAGCCATGCAATTTCCCACAGAGACCAGCGCCAGCCAAAGCATCGTTATCGAAAATCCCTGAAATTAGCCTTGTATCGGGAAGACCGTACCCTTTCGCTTCTACCGCAAAAGCAGAAAGAATCTGAGCCAGGCCCGGTCCCGCATACACGGCACCCGACCACGCAGCCAAAGGATACGGCAAATACACAATAGAAAACTGCTCGCTTTCGCCTGACTCGTCGTAAAAAAAGCTTCAAAAGTGCAATCGTGCCATGTCGCCAAGTGTGGCCGGCCGCCGCAGTGGCCAAACATGGGCTGCCGAAGAAACCCTGCAAAAACCGCAGGACGACCAGCCCGGCAAACGAGTCGCAAACAGCCGCGCCGACAGAGAGAACGACGAAGATGAAGAATGTGACAATGTATAATGGGTTACGGCAAGTCTAGGCAATCTCACTAGGGATTGAGAACAAGAGCGGCCCAGGCCATCTAC